CGAAGGAAAAAGTGCTTAGAGTTAATCAATGCTTATGGTTGTCACGCGCACCTGACCACTGCTAATTCTTCTGACTAATTACTGATCTCTTTTGGAGCACGGTCAGCCTAAATGATTTATGCGAAAGCAGATTTCACTAAAACAGCTTAGAAGTCACACAAGAGAAGATTGAGACTCGTATTGGGGACCTTTATAGGATAAGGGGTAGGGAGCGAATCATTCACAAGAACCGATCAGAAGCTATACTAAAACCTGAGCTGCACCAGCTGCACCTTCTTATATGTACTCAAAAATCCCTGAGATCGGGTAGGTGTGGCTGCATCCTTGAACTCATCCTGAAGGAGTCTACGCTACTGGTAAGATATTTTCATCCTGACAAAATTGTTTTCGTGTCTTGTCCAACACAGAACAAGATGACAGTTGTCATAGACTGGAATATTACACGAGTAACCAGTTCCGTGCCATGTTCAAATGCCACGCCTACCCTGGCTCAGGGATAAGGAGTGTAAGTGAGCAAAACTTCTGGAAACGACTTTTGACAGCAGCTTGCTAGATTCCTACTTCCAAAGTAACATAACAGAAAATGGAATGCAACTGAAAAGTAGCAAATTTGATTTCCGATCAGCAAGCATGCCATTCCACCTATCGGTTAACTGGTACCATGAGTATTCACGAAGGGAGATTACTTCCTGGTCATTTTGGTTAGCGGGAGGGAAACTTGGACAGAGTGTACTGGAAAGTAGGCAATGGGCGGAGTAACGCAAGTATATTGTGGCTCAACAACATTATTCACGCAGACAATTACTTGCAAAGACAAGATTCAGTTTTCAGCGTCTGAGAATGGATGAATGAAACGGTTGACTAAGTTGACGCAATGATAAGGTTTTTAGGAAAAGGGTCCTTAAGCTGAAGAGAGCATGATAGAGAGACCTGAAAGGGAATTTCACTTTCAGCGGAATTTTGCAGGAAGAAGGAAAATACGTCTATCGATTCCAAAAACCGCGGAATTGGGAGAAATGCAGAAATGCGGAATCTGCAGATTCTGCATTTCTCCCAATTCCGCACGATGGCAGGAACCAATCGATCGATCCTAAACCTAGTAATAAAACCTAATATGTTAAAGCAGCAGACTCATATCACACAAGAAAATGCGGAAAATAAATAATAAAAGAATATAACAAAAAAACACGAACGATAGCAAGCCAGCCGAAATCAGCTGATTAAAGGCCGAGGGATCGGGGGAGGGATTCTGGGCAGGACCAGCGGTGCAAGGTGGTTTGATTGGAGCGCGAGTTTTCAGGAAAGTAGGGTGTCTTTGAAGGGCCATAACTTCCTCAAAAGCGGACCTGTGGGAAAGTCTATTGAAGTTTAGCTAAGCAAGGCAGCAGTCTATAGAGGAATTTTGATCTTCCCAAAGGTAGTGAAACGTTCATGAAGGTCGCCAAAATCACAGAGAAATCAGCGTTGGGGATTTATGGGGAGCACACTTTTTGGATAGTTTGCAGTGCAAACTGAACAGGTTTGAATCAAGATATTTTCCTTGAAACTCAACATTTTACAAATCTTCGAATTCTAGAAGACTTCCTCTTTCCAAAAACTACTTGAATTGTTTCTGAAGTTTCCGAGATTCATGAGATAATTGCGTTGGGGATTCTTTCACTCCGAACTGTTCGAAAGTCCGTTTTCTGTGTACGGTTTCAAGCGAGCGTGTTCGAATAACCAGAAATACATGTAGAACGTATCCTGTGGTGGAGCAGGAGCAGGATGTGGTTTGTTTAGCGCCAATCATGCTAACTTTGGATGCGCCGCGCATTGAGGTCCGCGCAGAGGTGACGGGATGTTGCAATTTGAGCGTAGTGTCTTTCCACGCGAACAAATGTGTCTATAGGATTCAGGAAGGACACACCCATCTTCCGCAGCGAACCAGAGTATGAGGTGTACTGTTTAGTCACTTACGAGACGATGTCGACTTTTTATATTTCCAGTTACTTCAGATTAGTTTGGTGAATGGAAGTTTTGTACTATTTTTTTCACATATCCGAGTTCTCTACAAAGCAAGCTTCGCTGTACAGGGCTATGCACACTGACGCTCGTTACTGGCTACCGCACTCATTACGACCCCCCTCTCCTGGCGGCCAAATACGACCCCCCTGTTGGGATTCCCCAACCAACGAAGTGGCCTGGGTGGAAAGTGTGCAAAAATGGGTCGGTCGTCGTCGGACAGTTTATTTTTTTGCCCTTCAATTTATCGTAATAGTATGAAATGCAGCAGGTTCACGAAGTAAAAATTGCTACCACAATCCCACAGTACCTTGATGTTCAGGTGTTTTCCGTTGTTATACGCCCGTCTTCTAGGCGATGTCTGATGAACAAAGGAAGCTGTACAGGCCTCGTTGGCTAATCGGCTACGAACGAACAAGACGTGTCAGACGATACTTTCGTTCCCGTCACCCAGCAGCTCTAACTCTCACATTTGTCGCAGTGTGTCCAATTCCAAGTACGTTCCAATTCTCGAGCATTGCATTGTTGATAACCAGTATTTTCAAAAGCATTTCATGATCACAAAAAACCTCCTTTCTGCTACAATGGTTGGCCAAAAGAAAGAAAAATAAGACTGGATCATTAAATAAACCGTTTCACCGATTGATTACTGTGCAGATAACTGACTAGGAAGAAGCACCTAAAACGCGATTTCTGTCGGGTTTTCACATTCTTCAACAGGCAGTGTGTTGTAGCCCCAACCAACTAAATTTTGTTGATACATCTAGTGCCTTGCTCGTGATGACGCGGGACACCACACTGCTAGAAGACCTACCAAAAAGAATGAGAGTAAGGCCAGGAGACTATAACCCATACACCAGATCCTCTTACCCCACGATTACCGCCTTTTTAGGCTTTCTTAGCCGAGAAAACTTTCAGCACAGCAAGTCCATGACATAAGTCGAGAGGTGGCCGACTTCTTCGACTCGTTGCCTCCCCAGTTCTGCGAGAAGGAGACACTGACCTTCCCCTTAGGTGGAGCAGTGTAATGGCCAGTAATGGCAATTATGCTGCTAATTAATTTCAACTGAAGGATGAGTGAGAGCTTACAAAAAAAACCCACAAAAGTGACAAGACTTTCTTACCAATCTGATAATTTGAACGGTGCGAGATCCTAGCGGTTATCTTCTGATCGTAGTCCCCAGAGGTTCCTTTTGACTTTCGCAACTGCAGGTTAAGATTTATCCCTCGAACTTTATCAATTGACGACGTCATGCATATGGTTGACACTGAAGATGGCGACATTCTGGTGCTGACCGATTTAGTTCGCGAAGAGTCCGGACTCAGTCAAAACTCTCAGGTCACCACATCGTCAAGCGACGAGAGCGCTACCCAGGCGAGTACACTTTTACCACTTCACTTTTCCCTTTGTAAAGGCCGACATGCCGAATGCGTGCGTTTGAATCTTACTTTTCTGTTGAACAAAAGTCTATGATCGTAATAGATAAAGGGGAGAGATATGATCCTACGACAACAGTCCATTTTACGGCGACATCGATTTACGGCGAGAGGAGATGCTGTACTCATGGACTCAGCTGCGTGCGCGGCGGTTGGTGACAGTTGCCGATTCAGAGAGAAAAGTAGACGCTGTGCAGGAGAGCGCAGTCGGCACAAGAGAATGGTAGCACGGGTATGGAGCGTTACATCCCAGCATCCCAGTCGCGGTATCAGAGCCCAAGTTGACTTGAGACATGGAGTTATTACTGCCATGTTAAGTGGGTTTTTTCTAGCGTGGCTGCTGCGCACCCAATCCCACTTGCAACATCCATCTCGGCTGGCGTGCCGCGTGGGGGAGGTAATGCCATACCCTGTCAGAATGCGTTCATACTTCGCTTTAGAGTCCAAAAAAAGTGGGAGAGCATGGGGAAGAGAGGCAGACAGCTACCCTCGCACTCTCCCCTCCTGCACCCTGCTGGCCGGTGGTGGATGATGGTGGACGCTGCTGGTCGCTAGATCGATACCTATACTTTCCTAGCCCTCGAGACGCTGCTGGCCCTGACGGACGCTAGTGAACGCTAGTGGACGCTGCTGGATACTGCTAGTCGACTGATCAATATTTATACTTTTCATTCGCTGTCGCTGACCTAAGCCGAAACGCTGCTATTCGCTGGTGGTCGCCGCCGCAAAGTATAAGCGCAGCCTCGTAGGCCTCTGATGATGAGTCTTTTTTGTCTAAGCCGGCAACTATTCGCAATGCACAGTCGTCGCCTCGGTCACCACTATGTCCGTGAACCCTCCCTCTCCCACGATGAGATGTGGAGTGTATGTGTCCTGTTGGTAGTGATTCTTGACGCATCTCATGTGCTTATGAAACACCCAACGGTCCTTTATCACCATTTATTCAATTGGAGGGGGGGGGGTCATGAAGAAGGCTGTGTTGAGAATCGAGGTCGAACCTCAGTCATTTGTCATTTGTTCTTAGAAGCTGCTGATAAATAGCAATAGCATGATTCAAAAGAGGGGACCTTCTTAAATGGCTCACTTTGGTTCAACGATTAAGTTGAATCAAAGTGTGTATCTAGACTCCCGAAGACCGGAAATCGGGAACTGATGAACAAGCAGAGAAGTTCATCGATCATTTGGTTCCATGAAAATGTATAGAATGATTTATCTCATTCTATGTGAATTGTAGACGAGAGACGTTGTACTCTGATGGCCTTGCGTGAGAAAATCAAGAACTGAAAAGCGAAATTTCGCTTTCGCACTTACTTTTGTATGTAGTGACACGCTTTACAATATATTGCAGATATTTTACCGAACCTTTCCGTATACAACTAGTTCAGGTAGTCCTGTCGAAGTCATTTGACGCGAATTTGTTCCAGCGAGGTCGGTCGGAAACGGAAACGCCAACATTCTCGAGTACGTTTCCTTTATCAGCATTTATTCAATTTTCGATATTTCAAAAGCGGCATATTTTAAGACATATTCCGCGAAAGCGGCATATTTTAAGGCATATTCCGCGACTGGTGTTCGTTGGCAATGGGGTTTACAAATGAACGTGTTTGAGCCAGCAGACATAGTTGTAAGGAAGGAAACAAAAACAAATCAGTAACGGCATTAGCACAATTTAGGACCACTTGGACCGCTCGGCCCACCAGTCGCGCATTTTCAAGCCATAAAAAGGGCCTTTCGTTAGCTGTTGCGAATCCGGGTGACCCAGTTCAACGTTGAAGACGAGCAATTTCTCCATGGCTTGCATGTGGAACCACACCCTTCTTCGCTGTAGGTCTGTTGAATTCCAAATAGATGGGGGGGGGGGTGATTATGATCAAGGACTAATGCAAGATTCGAAGCAGGTCTTGGATATTAGCATTGTTCAAATTTTCTCGAACAGTCTTGAACAGTCAGATGGAATTTACAAATGGGAGGGTTAAAGAGAGGCGGTTCTACCCTAACTGCTCAATTTCTGCCTTTTCCGGCAGATAGACGGCCAGGACGTGTCCAAGAGCTCTTAGGCACGGCCAGGTACGTGACTAAGAGGCATAAGTGAAACGCAGGGGGTGAAACATTGAGGTTGCTCGTAGTCAGAATGTCGTCTAACTCCTCACAATTTATTTCCTTGATGTATTTTCTTTGATGATGGTGTGAATTAAAGCAAAAAAGCAAAACTAAAGGTTAACACAAACGAATAGTTGGTCGGTACCAATGAAAGACCTCTCCGAGTCTAACAATCGCGTATATTCTGATCGAAAAATAGCGTAAAAAAAATACGTGAAAAATGGCCGAGGTGGCTCTCCTCCTACGCTTGCGGTCTGAAGTCAAATCTCAGATCAGCATCCGGCCACGGGACTGCCTGGCCCCAGCTTATCATATAGGCCATACCACATTCCATAAGTCACTACGAGCGCAGATCGGCGACGGGGGGCAGGGCATTTCGCATTCCGACCCTTCTAAAGAGATCTTTCATGAGCGAGACGAGAGTTGAGGGGTTTTACCATGGTGGCTAGACGAGCTTGCTCCAGCTTCTCACAGGTTTCACTACGAGGGAACGTGGGGAACCGAAACTAGCCAAAAGCAGTAAAAGCTACAAAATGCCCGTCGCCGAACAGCGCCGTCACTATGATTCCTACTGTAAGACGAATGCGTGCAGCATCTAACAAAGTGATTGATCAACGGTAAAAGCTCCATCCTTGGTTATGCTTTGACCGTCGCGAGCACTGAGCGACGTCGTCCTACGAGACAGATTGGATGCACCGTCAGCCGCTGGGTTTGCCTCTGTATCGTGAATTCAGGAGAACTGAATACGAACTTTTTCGAAAAACACGAGTTTTTAGGTCTAAGGCGTCTTTCACCATGTCGTCCGTCAGCTATCGATATTGAGACGTTGGAAGAAATAGAAGACAGAATCGCCCTTGGGCAAATACCCCCGTTATCGAATACTGTGCATTTCAGGTCGAGGTATGTGAATCCAGCGAATTCGTGAAAGGAATCACTGTCTCTGGAATCTTGGAGGTGTTTTGAGTCGATATGCTTGTCCGTTTTTTCTAGACTTTCTCTGATTCCTGAACATGTTCCCTCAACAGTGGAAGAGGGCGAAGAGCCAAGCGAGTCTAGCCACGCTCTTTCTATGGAGGAGAACACCGACAGTCCAATAACAACGAGGTATTTATGGTTTGTTTCGGAGAAAAGAAAAACAGATGGTCGAGTGAAAACTTTCAGGCGGAGTCGCCTACAGAATGTCTTCAGCAGTTTGCTCAACAGGCGCAGGTCCTCAAAGGATACACTAAGTCCATCTTCAGAACGGCCGCCATCGTCTTGAATACCCGGCAGTTCCCGGTTGCAATACCTGCACATCAACAAGTTTCACTGAATTCGTTTTAATCTCAGAACTGTTTTGAAGGGTGATGGGTAGCATAAGGCTCATTTTCCTTATCTATGTTAAGAGCTTCATACAATGAAATGGGCTAATGCCTAGCTATAGCAACCCTGCTGGTATACAATCGTTTTCGGGGCAGAACGGCGTGTTGGAAGGCTGATTTGGCACGGGATCAGCCCGTTCCCCACTCGCATGTCCGCACAGCCCCCCCCCACATCCTTTAGCACCTGCTACGAAAACGACTATATGGGGGTTGTCACATAAGGCAAGGATCGCTGTTCGCTGAGGGCCTCCAATTCTTCGCAAGGGTTTGGGTCATCGACCTAAAGGAAGCAGTTCATAAGTATGCAGCTATAGAATTGATTGCTTAGTCGTAACTTGATAATTTGTCGTGATCAAATCGAATATCTCAGTTACTGCAATTACAAGCTCATATTGACTGTTAAGAGCTTCTGTTAGGTATTCTCACTTTGGACAATGTGTTCTACCCGTGATGTTCGCAATGAATCCATGTTCATAACAAGACACTGGTGAACATGTGCCATGAGAGGCCCAGATGCATTCTCCGCCCCCCCCCCCCCCCTGCTGCGAAAGTCAATCACTTATTCTTCCGCATTGCGGTGCGTGCATGCTGAAATCAGACGAGAATCAGATAAAAAATCGGCTTACAAGGGAAGCAGGATGCAGGGAGTGGATCTGAAATTCAAGCTGTTGGTTCTAAGTAACCCTTCATTGCCGAAAAGGTGACAAATAAATTCTAAAATGCCCCGCTTTTTTAATTCGGGGGTTGTATGAACTTTCAATGGAGAAACACAGATAGAGCCCAGACGGGAGATAAAAGAGCGGAGATACACTAACGAACCCACAAATCATGTTCACTCCATAGCAGAGAGGGTCCTGGTCTGATAATGGGTGAATAGAGTTCCTAGGGGTGCTGCTAGGAACTTTCTGGGTTCTAAGTCAGCGAAGCCTTTGTGCTGAGAGGTCAGTCTAGCCTTTTCTCGGGTGTGAAGGCTGTCGTTGCACTTATAGTTAGCTCATCGCTCTTGAATCAATGGACGGCGTGAGTTATGACACATAAATTCATTCGCGACCAGGCACTGAACAGCGAAACGACATTGGAGACGCACCGGCCCTCTACACTCCCGATCCCGTAAATACGTGGGGAAGACGTACATAGCCGCGTATTCTATTTCAACATGGTTCACGATGCGCTTTTCAAGAGATATTTTCATCCGAGACATTTTGTATCCTAGCCTGTGTTCAGGGCCTTTTTTACTCTCGTTTCGTTTTTTTTTTTTTGTTTTGTTGGAAGCTCACGAAACAACGACGAAGCATCATGGCGTGGAAAGTTCCAAAGATAATAGCAAGAGTACTGAGTTATGGGTTGGCATCAAGCGCTTTGCCATAGTAGTAATTTTCCCTTCGCTAACTACGGCTATAATCAGCAATCATCATAGAAAAAGTGAATTCCTGGTGTTGCATAAGGTGCGGGTATTAATAGCGTCTGAGGTCAAATTTTTCCTCACATAATTTAGATTTTTTCCAAGTATTAAGTTCTCAATCACGCCGCTCCCATCTGAGATCTCCAGTCTCTGAATTTGAGTCTATTCCTGCCTCTGAGGGTCGTAATTCATCATCGCTTCTCTGCCACAGAGACGCGCATGTGTGCATGTGACCTCTGATCAAAGGAGCAGTCCAAGGAGCCGCAGCAATAAGTGGCATGAGCCTGCAACAATTGATAACTCAGCAACCCAATAAGCATGAAGTCAGCTAGGAGAGCACAAATGAGAACGCGCTAAGCACTACCGAGCACAAACTCACATAACTGAGCACAGACGAACACATTTACACGCAAAACAGCCAGACAAAAATAGTTCAGCACACGGCTCCATATTGGTGAGAAAGAAGAATAGAGTAGTGTGATTCTAGATATCTGACGAACTATTGGCAAGGTTTGGTCATCATTTTTCAAATGAGGGTGGAGCTTCTCATTGTGTGGGCCTTATGTGGCAGTCCAGAAATGCGAAAATTTAGAAAAATAGGATTAAGTTTCGCAAAAAGGCGGCAAAGTGTGCGTAGCTGAAGGAGCGAAGCTCAATACGTCAGTGCATAAATGCAAGTTTTTTTGCGCATCGTCGTGGTACAACGAGTGGATGTGAAATTAACGACGTTAAAAAAGTTACGAAAAGTTGGAATTTACATCAGATCCTTTGAAAAGTGGCCGGAGTTGCGCCTATGTACAGTCCTTTTCAGCTAGTGTGTATGTGCGAAATAAAAAAGTGCAAAAAAAGTCACAAAAGCAGAAGGTATAAAATAAACTTTGAATTAGCATCAACACGCTGAAGTGTGGGCCTGGCTGTAGGCAGTTGGAGCAGTGTCTAGCGAGACATAGGTAACTAAGTCTTGAATTATTCGAAAAGTCGTAAATTTGGTTTGAAAGGTGGTGAATTTGGTTTAAAAATTCGTGAATTCAAAGTGAAAATGGTACATGTTCCATATATACGCATTGCAACCTTGTCAGGTGAAGTAAACTTTCAAGCTACAATCACAGTGCCTTTTTATTGCTTTATCTGTACAAATCCATCTCAGCCCTTGAGCATGCACAGAGACCGTCGTGCAGGGCGTCCTGGCACCTCGTAGTGCATGACTCGCTGCATCGCAAAGTCTGAGCGTAGCCTTATTGAGTAATAGGTGCGAGCTCACCGCTCGCGATCCCTGAGTTGCTTACAATACATTCCACCAGCGCATCATGTTTATTAGAATATCGAGGCGATCAAGCGGGGAATAGGATTCAGTGTAGTTGATGTAGTTGACGACGGACCATTGGTCGGCAGCGTGACAGGGAGTCGGCGAGCCCAGAGGCGACGCGAGGGCAGGCAGAAGCGGTCGTCGGTTGGCATCCAGCAGATCTCTCTCGTCGACGTTCAGCGCGAACCTTAAGTATTGTCGGTGAGATGAGTCATGCATATCGTACTCTGACCTTCTCCTCTCTCTCTCTCACGCTAGCTTCACGCAAACCGTCGGCAACCAGAAGGAGACCCGAAGTGAGAAGGGTGCCGTATAAAGGTAGGAGGGTTCTCCCTATGGTGAGCGACTCGTTCGCTTACACTCTCTTACAAATGTTGACAGTGGCCTTCACACATGTGCACAGGGCACATCATTGGTTGGGGATTTTGGTCGGCTCCGTACACCCCCCCCCCACTCTTTTTTGGGTTGATCCCTCCTCGCGAGCTGTCGATATGAAGGGGGTGGGGGACGAAGGTAAATAGCACATGTGAATTTTCCGAAAATTTTCCAGGTTTCTCCCAAAATTTCACAGTCGAGCAAGGATATATAGTACACATATGAAATAGGAAAAACCACGAAAAGCCAGCAACCTCTCTCAGAAGGTCAGAAGGGAACACAAATCCCATCCTCCTTCAAAACGTCCCCAGAACAAAAAATCAGCTATCAAAAACAGCCCAATTGCGACCCCTCCCTCTCCCAGCGACCACACACGACCCTCCTGTTGGGAATCCCCAAGAACGATGTGCCCTGCATGTGGATGCTGTTCGAGTTACAGTGTCAAGTGTTTAATTCTCAAGTCATTTCCATCGATGAGTGAAACAGGGATTGTTTTGGCAGTTAGCAGATCTTATGCTGTAAGACTGAAGTTGTAGTTACTCTAACAATAAGACTTCCGTCAATGTCGGCAACATCTTCGGCACGGAAAAGTTAACATTCGTGAATTCCGACTAGAAATATGCAGGCCATCATCGGAAATTTGCACCGTGTAAAATTTGAACGCATGTCCCGTTTGCTGTGAATGACGGATAGCTCTTTGTACCACGTGCACGTGGGAATAATAATAATAACCGGTATTTTGAATGAAGAAAATCTAATAGCTTCCACTATTAGGTTGTCCGGAAAGTTCTCAGTGTTTTGAGTGTTTCACTTCGAACGATCCTTAACTTTCTTAATACTCATCGGAACACGTTTGCCAATGTGACATCAGCCGATAAATCCTATCAAGGAAAAAACTGGGTGGTCGAGAATTCACGAAATCCACGAAGGCTTTTTTGCCTGGTCCTGATTGATGAAGTATTTTCCAGCAAGGAAGTTCTGAAAATGTTTGAAAAGGTGATAGTCGGTTGGTGAAAGGTCTGGAGAATATGGCGGGTGAGGTAGAACTTCAACCCCCAATTTATGGATAGTGATTTGTGAAACGTGTGGGCGGGCGTTGTCATGCAAAAGAATCGGACCCTTTCTGTTGACAAGTGCTGGCTGCAGCTGACGCAATTTTTACATGATGGTTGGCCTGGTGACTAAAAATTGTAGTGGTTCACACCAGCCGATGACCACCACACTGTGACCATAATCTTTTTTCGTGAGGATTCGGCTTTGGAAATTGCCTCGGTGGTTCGTCGGCATCCAACCACTGTCCGGAACGTCTCCTGTTATCATACATGATCCACTTTTCATCACAGGTGACAATTCGGTCCAAAAACGGGTCGTTTCTGTTGCGCAAAAGCAGTGAAGAAGAAACCTCGAGACGTGCCAATTTCTGCCGGTCACTCAAATTGTGGGGCACCCACTTATCGAGTTTTTTCACCTTCCCAATGCGTTTCAGACCATCCGCAACAGTGGATTTGCCAACGCCTAGCTTTTCTGCAATCTCTCGAACTGTTTGGGATGGGTCAGCCTCCACAAACGCCTTCAAATCCTCGTCAGGTATTGCTTTAGGTCGACCGCTACGAGGTTCATCTTCAAGGCTGAAATCTCCAGAACGAAATTTGTCGAACCATTGTCGCACGGTGCTTTCTCCAACACTATTGGGCCCCCACACCTGGTTAATTTGTCGAGCTGTCTCGACTGCGGATTGACCCAATTTGTAGTTGAAGAAAAATATCGTCCGAAGTGCTCTTTTGACATGCTTCAAAAAGTCTTGGGAAAAGGGGTTT